GGAGTACCTGACCCTCTACTCACGATCATTAAGGACCTTCATGATGGTGAGCGGGCCCGGGTAAAACTACATGGCCGGGAGTCCGAGCCATTCCCTGTGCACCTTTGGGTGCGACAGGGATGTCCTCTGGCTCCCACATTATTTAACATCCATTTTGACCACGTAGTTTGTGAAGCCTTCAATAACTGTACCGGGGGAATCTCCATTTGGTACAGATATAATGGGAGGCTGATCGATGCCCGGGTGCGGTCAAGGGATGGCTCCCTATTGGTCAACCACGTTATGTATGCCGATGATTTGGTAATAGCTGCTCATTCAGAGGAGTTGGAGACGCTGCTGCTGAGACTGGAGCGTGCCACTAAGAGATGGGGCCTTACCATCAGCCCCACCAAAACTAAGCACCTGCCTGGGTATTTTGTACCATCGGAAACTCCACCCCCACAACTCCCAATCGGTGATGGGGCAATTTTGGAGAGAGTGGAGAGTTTCCCATACCTGGGCAGTGTGCTTATGACCGGCTCCAGTTTAACAGCAGAAGTCTCACTCCGAATCAGTCGAGCGGCAATGTCTTTTCATCGGTTGCGTAGCACTATGTGGAAGCTACCTGGTCTGTCGCTCCGCACTAAGCTTCAGGTCTTCTCGGCCACGGTCATTCCCTCCCTTCTCTACGCTTGCGAAACGTGGACCCCCCTAATGGAGCATCTTCGCCGATTAGAAACATTTAGGCTGGCCTGCCTACGATCCATCCTGGGTTTAACCAGGCTGGATTGTGTGAGGAGCTCACAAATCCTTGAAAGATCTGGGCAAGGTCCCATCGGTGAGCTCCTCCGGTGGGCAAGGCTGCGTTGGCTGGGTCATGTAGCCCGCATGCCCAAACAGCTTTTGTGTGTCTCTGTGTGTCTGCGTGTCTCTGTGTGTCTGCGTGTCTCTGTGTGTCTCTGCGTGCGTGTGTCTGTGTCTCTGCGTGCGTCTCTGCGTGCGTGTCTCTGCGTGTCTCTGCGTGTGTCTGCGTGTGTCTGCGTGTCTCTGCGTGTGTCTGCGTGTGTCTGCGTGTCTCTGCGTGCGTGTGTCTCTGTGTGTCTCTGCGTGCGTGCGTCTGTGTGTCTCTGCGTGTGTCCGCGTGTGTCTGCGTGTCTCTGTCTGCGTGCGTGTCTCTGCGTGTCTCTCTGCGTGTCTCTGCGTGTCTCTGCGTGAGTGTCTCTCTGCGTGCGTGTGTCTGCGTGTGTCTGCGTGTCTCTGCGTGCGTGTCTCTCTGCGTGTCTCTGCGTGTCTCTCTGCGTGTCTCTGCGTGTGTCTGCGTGTGTCTCTGCGTGTGTCTCTGTCTGCGTGCGTGTCTCTGCGTGTCTCTGCGTGTCTCTGCGTGCTTGTGTCTGCGTGTCTCTGTCTGCGTGTCTCTGTCTGCGTGTGTCTGCGCGTGTCTGCGTGCGTACGTGGGAGGCTGTACGCGTGTCTCTGTCTGCGTGCGTGTGTCTGCGTGTCTCTGCGTGTCTGTGTGTCTCTGTCTGCGTGTCTCTGCGTGTCTCTGCGTGTCTCTGCGTGTGTCTCTGTGTGTCTCTGCGTGTCTCTGTCTGCGTGTGTCTGCGTGCGTACGTGGGAGGCTGTACGCGTGTCTCTGCGTGTCTGCGTGTGTCTGCGTGTCTCTGTCTGCGTGTCTGCGTGTGTCTGCGTGTCTCTGTCTGTGTCTCTGCGTGTGTCTGCGTGTCTCTGTCTGCGTGTCTGCGTGTCTGCGTGTGTCTGCGTGTCTGCGTGTGTCTGTCTGTGTGTCTGCGTGTGTCTGCGTGTCTCTGCATGTGTCTGAGTGTCTGCGTGTGTCTGTGTGTCTCTGTCTGCGTGTCTCTGTCTGCGTGTGTCTGCGTGTGTACGTGGGAGGCTGTGCGCGTCGTGTCGGCCGCTGCGTGTCTGAAGTAAACTCCGACGCGATCCACGGAGATGGGCTCCATCTCCTGCCAGCCGTCCACTCGCACCGCCAACTGGCGCAGACGCACCTCGTGGGTCTGTCTGACTCACGCACACACGGGGAGAGAGACACACGGGGAGAGAGAGACACGGGGAGACACGGGGAGAGAGAGACACGGGGAGAGAGAGACGGGGAGAGAGACACGGGGAGAGAGAGACACGGGGAGAGAGAGACGGGGAGAGACACACGGGGAGAGACACACGGGGAGACACGGGGAGACACGGGGAGACACGGGGAGAGAGACACGGGGAGGGAGACACGGGGAGACACAGGGAGAGAGAGACACGGGGAGAGACACACGGGGAGGGAGACACGGGGAGGGAGACACGGGGACGGAGACACGGGGAGGGAGACACGGGGAGAGAGACACGGGGAGAGAGACACGGGGAGACACGGGGAGGGACGGGGAGACACGGAGAGAGACACGGGGAGAGAGACACGGGGAGACACGGGGAGACAGGGGGAGAGAGACACACGGGGAGGGAGACACGGGGAGACACGGGGAGAGACACACGGGGAGAGAGAGACACGGGGAGACACGGGGACACACGGGGAGAGAGACATACGGGGAGAGAGACACGGGGAGGGAGACACGGGGAGACACGGGGAGAGAGAAACGGGGAGACACGGGGAGACACGGGGAGAGAGACACGGGGAGACACGGGGAGGGAGACACGGGGAGGGACGGGGAGACACGGAGAGAGACACACGGGGAGAGACACATGGGGAGAGAGACACGGGGAGACACGGGGAGGGACAGGGGGAGGGAGACACGGGGAGAGAGACACAGAGAAAGACACGGGGAGAGAGACACGGTGAAAGAGACACGGGGAGAGAGACACGGGGAGATACGGGGAGACACGGGGAGAGAGACACGGGGAGGGAGACACGGGGAGAGAGACACGGGGAGAGAGACACGGGGGGGGGGAGACACGGGGAGAGAGACACGGGGAGGGACGGGGAGACACGGGGAGAGACACACGGGGAGGGAGACACGGGGAGGGAGACACGGGGAGAGACACACGGGGAGAGACACACGGGGAGAGAGAGACACGGAGAGAGAGACACGGGGAGACACGGGGAGACACGGGGAGAGAGACACGGGGAGGGAGACACGGGGAGACACGGGGAGACACGGGGAGAGACACACGGGGAGACACGGGGAGACACAGGGAGAGAGACACGGGGAGACATGGGGAGGGAGACACGGGGAGGGAGAGACGGGGAGACACGGGGAGAGAGACACGGGGAGAGAGACACGGGGAGAGACACACGGGGGAGACACGGGGAGGGAGACATGGGGAGAGACACACGGGGAGACACGGGGAGGGAGACACGGGGAGACACGGGGAGGGAGACACGGGGAGACACGGGGAGAGAGACACGGGGAGAGAGACACGGGGAGAGAGACACGGGGAGACACGGGGAGACACGGGGATACACGGGGAGAGAGACACGGGGAGAGAGACACGGGGAGGGAGACACGGGGAGACACGGGGAGACACGGGGAGGGAGACACGGGGAGACACGGGGGGGGGGGGGAGACACGGGGAGAGAGACACGGGGACGGAGACACGGGGAGGGAGACACGGGGAGAGAGACACGGGGAGAGAGACACGGGGAGACACGGGGAGGGACGGGGAGACACGGAGAGAGACACGGGGAGAGAGACACGGGGAGACACGGGGAGACAGGGGGTGAGAGACACACGGGGAGGGAGACACGGGGAGACACGGGGAGAGACACACGGGGAGAGAGAGACACGGGGAGACACGGGGACACACGGGGAGAGAGACAGACGGGGAGAGAGACACGGGGAGAGAGACACGGGGAGACACGGGGAGAGAGACACGGGGAGACACGGGGAGACACGGGGAGGGAGACACGGGGAGGGACGGGGAGACACGGAGAGAGACACACGGGGAGAGACACATGGGGAGAGAGACAGGGGGAGACACGGGGAGGGACACGGGGAGGGAGACACGGGGAGAGAGACACAGAGAAAGACACGGGGAGAGAGACACGGTGAAAGAGACACGGGGAGAGAGACACGGGGAGATACGGGGAGACACGGGGAGAGAGACACGGGGAGGGAGACATGGGGAGAGAGACACGGGGAGAGAGACACGGGGGGGGGGAGACACGGGGAGAGAGACACGGGGAGGGACGGGGAGACACGGGGAGAGACACACGGGGAGGGAGACACGGGGAGGGAGACACGGGGAGAGACACACGGGGAGAGACACAGGGGGAGAGAGAGACACGGAGAGAGAGACACGGGGAGACACGGGGAGACACGGGGAGAGAGACACGGGGAGGGAGACACGGGGAGACACGGGGAGACACGGGGAGAGACACACGGGGAGACACGGGGAGACAGGGGGAGGGAGACACGGGGAGGGAGAGACGGGGAGACACGGGGAGAGAGACACGGGGAGAGAGACACGGGGAGAGACACACGGGGGAGACACGGGGAGGGAGACAGGGGGAGAGACACACGGGGAGACACGGGGAGGGAGACACGGGGAGACACGGGGAGGGAGACACGGGGAGACACGGGGAGAGAGACACGGGGAGAGAGAGACGGGGAGAGAGACACGGGGAGACACGGGGAGGGAGACATGGGGAGAGACACACGGGGAGACACGGGGAGGGAGACACGGGGAGACACGGGGAGGGAGACACGGGGAGACACGGGGAGAGAGACACGGGGAGAGAGAGACGGGGAGAGAGACACGGGGAGACACGGGGAGACACGGGGACACACGGGGAGAGAGACACGGGGAGAGAGACACGGGGAGGGAGACACGGGGAGACACGGGGAGACACGGGGAGGGAGACACGGGGAGACACGGGGGGGGGGGGGGAGACACGGGGAGAGAGACACGGGGACGGAGACACGGGGAGGGAGACACGGGGAGAGAGACACGGGGAGAGAGACACGGGGAGACACGGGGAGGGACGGGGAGACACGGAGAGAGACACGGGGAGAGAGACACGGGGAGACACGGGGAGACAGGGGGAGAGAGACACACGGGGAGGGAGACACGGGGAGACACGGGGAGAGACACACGGGGAGAGAGAGACACGGGGAGACACGGGGACACACGGGGAGAGAGACATACGGGGAGAGAGACACGGGGAGGGAGACACGGGGAGACACGGGGAGAGAGACACGGGGAGACACGGGGAGACACGGGGAGGGAGACACGGGGAGGGACGGGGAGAGACGGAGAGAGAGACACGGGGAGAGACACATGGGGAGAGAGACACGGGGAGACACGGGGAGGGACACGGGGAGGGAGACACGGGGAGAGAGACACAGAGAAAGACACGGGGAGAGAGACACGGTGAAAGAGACACGGGGAGAGAGACACGGGGAGATACGGGGAGACACGGGGAGAGAGACACGGGGTGGGAGACACGGGGAGAGAGACACGGGGAGAGAGACACGGGGGGGGGGGAGACACGGGGAGAGAGACACGGGGAGGGACGGGGAGACACGGGGAGAGACACACGGGGAGGGAGACACGGGGAGGGAGACACGGGGAGAGACACACGGGGAGAGACACACGGGGAGAGAGAGACACGGAGAGAGAGACACGGGGAGACACGGGGAGACATGGGGAGAGAGACACGGGGAGGGAGACACGGGGAGACACGGGGAGAGACACACGGGGAGACACGGGGAGACACAGGGAGAGAGACACGGGGAGACATGGGGAGGGAGACACGGGGAGGGAGAGACGGGGAGACACGGGGAGAGAGACACGGGGAGAGAGACACGGGGAGAGACACACGGGGGAGACACGGGGAGGGAGACATGGGGAGAGACACACGGGGGAGACACGGGGAGGGAGACACGGGGAGACACGGGGAGGGAGACACGGGGAGACACGGGGAGAGAGACACGGGGAGAGAGACACGGGGAGAGAGACACGGGGAGACACGGGGAGACACGGGGACACACGGGGAGAGAGACACGGGGAGAGAGACACGGGGAGGGAGACACGGGGAGACACGGGGAGACACGGGGAGGGAGACACGGGGAGACACGGGGGGGGGGGGGGGAGACACGGGGAGAGAGACACGGGGACGGAGACACGGGAGGGAGACACGGGGAGAGAGACACGGGGAGAGAGACACGGGGAGACACGGGGAGGGACGGGGAGACACGGAGAGAGACACGGGGAGAGAGACACGGGGAGACACGGGGAGACAGGGGGAGAGAGACACACGGGGAGGGAGACACGGGGAGACACGGGGAGAGACACACGGGGAGAGAGAGACACGGGGAGACACGGGGAGACACGGGGAGAGAGACATACGGGGAGAGAGACACGGGGAGGGAGACACGGGGAGACACGGGGAGAGAGAAACGGGGAGACACGGGGAGACACGGGGAGGGAGACACGGGGAGGGACGGGGAGACACGGAGAGAGACACACGGGGAGAGACACATGGGGAGAGAGACACGGGGAGACACGGGGAGGGACACGGGGAGGGAGACACGGGGAGAGAGACACAGAGAAAGACACGGGGAGAGAGACACGGTGAAAGAGACACGGGGAGAGAGACACGGGGAGATACGGGGAGACACGGGGAGAGAGACACGGGGAGGGAGACATGGGGAGAGAGACACGGGGAGAGAGACACGGGGGGGGGGAGACACGGGGAGAGAGACACGGGGAGGGACGGGGAGACACGGGGAGAGACACACGGGGAGGGAGACACGGGGAGGGAGACACGGGGAGAGACACACGGGGAGAGACACACGGGGAGAGAGAGACACGGAGAGAGAGACACGGGGAGACACGGGGAGACATGGGGAGAGAGACACGGGGTGGGAGACACGGGGAGACACGGGGAGACACGGGGAGAGACACACGGGGAGACACGGGGAGACAGGGGGAGGGAGACACGGGGAGGGAGAGACGGGGAGACACGGGGAGAGAGACACGGGGAGAGAGAGACGGGGAGAGAGACACGGGGAGACACGGGGAGGGAGACATGGGGAGAGACACACGGGGAGACACCGGGA